CCAGAGCTAAATTGAATTATTTGTTTGGCTTTGGTCAGACTATAATATATATCTTTTGAAATAAATCCACTAGAACAAGATACTTGTCTGGAAAAACTAATTAAATCAAAAGACAAAACAAAAAAAAGCAAAAATACTTGCAGTTTAATTAAGACAAGCAGATTGTGCAAAAAATGCAAAATGCGCGATAAATATTTCCTGCTGAGTTCCTACATTGGAATCTCAAAAAAAAAACTAAAACTCAGAAGATATAAGGAAGGTTTCTAGTCGCCCAACAGCTGGGTTGTGGCATCCGGATCGGTCCCATCTAAACAAACATATATGTATATCCATATATATATATATCACTGGATAGATATATATCTCAAGTCTTGGCACAATGATGATTGACGGGTAATCGTGTAATCGTTCTCGGCCGTAGGAGCGGATTGCGGATTTTCTGGATTACTTCTCATAGCATTTTACAGTCTTGCCGTCCTATAGTAGTACTATAGTCGTGTGGCGTCAATTGCTTTGCACTTGCTCTAGAGACCCACATACCACCATCAGACCAGACCAGATTTCCAGATTTTCAGATTTTTTTTTTTCCAAATTTTACAGATTCTTAGATATGCATACATATATTCCTCTAGATGTCACTTTAGAGTGAACTTTTTAGTTTTCGCAGAGGTGGCAGAGGTGGAGGAACAGTTGTCTGGCGGCATTTCGCCTGGCAATTACCTTGAAGCTACTTTTTAATCAAATTTTCACATGTTTTTACCTCCAATTTCCTTCTTCTTTCTCACTCTCTCTTTGTGTCTTTCTCTTTTACTCTCATACTATGGTTTTTTTTTTGGGCTTTTCCGTTGATAATTGTGGCCAACACACACACAAACAAAAGTTTGCCTTTTTGGCCAAAATGCGTTTTGTGGTACTATATATGTGTTTTGGAATACACTTTCCTAAAGGAGGGTTCTGTTGGCCATTTTGGGAATTATTTTTAAAATTTTAAAGCTTTTTTTTTAGCTTAATTTATGGTTTGGTTTAGGCTTAAAATCTTTACTTAAAGTTGCTATTAGAAATATTATTTTAAAAAATGAGAAACATTGTTAAGAAACATCCTCTTCGTTTTAGGGGCTTATAATATACTTTATCTATTTTTTGAATAGCTTTTTTCAAAAACCTCCTTTCTTTAACGAGTTTTTAAGCTTTAAAAGCCAACATTTTTTAGCTTTAAACCTTAAAAATATTTTCCTAGTTTTGAAAACAGAAACAAATTTAATACAAATTATACAAAAAACATAACATAGTTATAAACATAACTATATTACCAACACTACACCTACATACTTACATCTCTTAAATTACTTAAAGATTATAGATTACTTATTTATACATAGATACTTGATATCTATAATTCTATCTATTTTATAGATACTTGATAAGATAGATGCCACTTATAGATGGATTAGATCTATGGTATAATAGTATTTATCAGAAAATAAATCATTTGGCTCATTTTACAGAAGATTTTTGATACATCTTAGAAGATATATACTATATATTCTTGGATATAGATTTATCTATAGATATATATATATATAACCAGATTTGTTTGAATCTATATATATATATATGGTTTTTTGAAGATTTTTAATATATTAGGTTTGTTGAAGATAGGTAGGTATTCCAAAAACATAAACCACAAGTAAATAAGGCATTTCGCATTTTTAGCTTGAAATCCTTGATATTTTCTTATTCTTAATAGTATTATTATACAATTTTTAGTTATAATTAAGACTATAATATTATATATAATAATTAGTACTAGTATTAATAGACAATATTTAGATAGACGTAGTAGCAAACAGACCCTTTCCGTCTTACTTTTTCCAGAGCTTTCTTTCAATCTTTTGTTATATTTTTCTTCTACAAATATTAATTAAATTCTTGTTATATTACATTTTATTGCTTAAATAATATTTAAGCTTTTTTTAATTCCATGTATATTTTTTTAGACCTTAGTGTATTATTTTTTAGTCTAATATTTTGACTTTCATAATTTCTCTTCCTTCATTGTTTTTTGGTCTAAAGCCACGCCCTAGGCCTGCTGACCGCCCAGTGTCTGCCGTGCCTGGAGGCCACAAATTGTCTGCCAGTTTGTCAGTCAGTCAGTCTGCCTCTCAGTCACTCTGTCAGTTAGTCAATAACTTTTTCTTTCGCTTTGTCAGACTGTCGCCCCCACCTCTCCTCGCCTCGCCCCATTTCGTCCAGCCACAAGTCCAATTTTGGTATGTCGGGATCGATTTAGTGAGAATTGGCTCGATGTCTGCGATTTTTGAACGTAGATGAAAATAAATTGCCGGCACACATATGTTCGCCAAATTTATGGCCCCACCAGGGAGGAGGGAGTGTCTTTCAGTCTGTAATTTGTCTTTCAGGAAATGAGCCTGAAAACGCCACAAAAAAAAAAAACAAAATCAAACAAGTAGGAGAGTTCGATAAACGCATGTGGTGTTTTTTTTTTTTTTGAGTCTAGAGGTCTAAGGATGGTTTACCATTAAGGGTGGCATGGCATGACCTTTCTTCCTTTGTCGATGACCCACTTTTGGCTTCAAAAATGAGCAACAAGTTGAGACAATTGACAATAACCATGTGTTTTTTTTTTTTGGCAAATGTATAAATGTGGTCGAGTCAGAGGCAGATGCATCTCGGGGTAGAAATGGGTTCAAGGACATGACGTTGTCATCTAATTGGTGAGGCACATAAATAACATTTCGTGTTCGTTTATACACTAATATTTATTTAAAACTATGCCTGTTTGTCTGTTATACGTTGCGTATGCGTAATAATTCATTTCGCTACTAAATTGCATACGAAAATCGATGTGGGCGGCGGTGGCACAGTTTTAGAAGCTCTGCAGTGTCCGGCCATGCTGTTTGCATGCATTAGCGGACAGCTCCGAGTAATCACAATAAACGCCCGGAATCTGTGTCAAGCATGCCAGCCAGCTAGAATGCAACCTCCACCGGAATCCAACAGATGCTCGCCGTATCTCTCTCTTCAATTATTAGGATCTGCAACAATTAGCACAGAAATCACAAGAAAACAAATCAAATATTGATAGCCTTATCGATGACGGCAAAAATATTATTATTATTATTATTATTATGTATAACACACTGTCTGCCAAAAAAAACTTGCCAAAAGCAGGAGCTGGGGGGTAACAACTTCAAAGTCCGTTTACGTGACCCAACAAGGCCATAAAAACGACAGACACTTTGTAGACATCACGAAGTCGAACAACAAAATCCAGGAAAACAAAACATTGTGGATGATTTCGTCACAAAAACAAAGTTTGTTCAACTTTTGATTTTTGAGGGAAAGAGTTCTTTAGAAGCAAGAGTGGTTGTTTTTATGAATTTTTGAACTTTTATTTAAGATTTTTAATTGATGTTCTTAAATTTTAAGGTTATTTGGCAAATAATTTAAGGGATTTCGTCACAAAAAATTGAGTTTATCTTTTAATTTTGGGTTTCTGAAAGAAAAATGGGAGTTTCTTTAATATTTTAAACTTTATTTTTCTTTCTCAATTAATATTGATTGCTTTCTTGCATTATTTATTTAGTTAGCGATAAGAAAATGAAATAAAGAAAAAGAGAGAAACGTTATTTTTATGATATCTTAGCTTAAATTTAATTCAATAAGCTTCTTTCTATTATTTTTTAGCTAATAAATAGTCATCTAATAAACTTTAAAACCTCCAATAGCAGGAATTCGTCACAAAACTATTTTGTAGCTCTTTTTTTTGTTTTCAAGGGAAATAGTTGTTAAAGACTCTTCTTTTATAATTATTTTATACTTTATTTTAATATTTATTTAACTTATAAGCTTTTTTAATAACAAAATTTAAGAAATCAAAAAAGTATAAGAGAATTCGTCACCAAAACATTACCTAAATTTTCCAATTGGGGTTTCATCGAAAAGATTACTTGTTAAAAAGTTTAATTAAGGTCTTAATAGGATTTTCTTTTCCTCTTTTATTATTAATTTCTTTCCTTCTAAAATTATGAGACTTGACAAGCTTTATCTTATGATTTAAACTCTATTTTTGATGCTTTATCTGAATCAGTGTTCATTTAATTGAAATTCATTGTAAAAATCGAGTTAATAAAATAGAGAATACCCATTTTCCACGCAACTGCCCCCCACCCGCCTCTCGATGCATTCTCGTGTCTCTGCCACTATCTTTTTAGTTTATCGAAGTATTTCGATAAGAGGATAGAAGAGTGGCTCGGGCCATGCACATTTGGCCCACATTCCATATACATATATATGTATATGTATATTCCCACACAGGCATATGGCTGGTGGGGAGTGGACTGGAGTGGAGTGATCGAGGGGAGTTGAAGAAAGACTTCCCCGGAGGGCTGGAAAGAAAGAGAGCACATCGAACATCAATTTTGTGGCAAGATATGATCTGGAGAAGGGGGCAGGGCAGGGCGGGGCAGGGGCATACAACACGCGGAGAAATGCCTTTTATCAGCCAAAGGCAACAATAAATAAATATATGACGTAGACACGCGTCTATGCTGATACACCCTTTCCCGTAAAATTTAAAAACTGGCACTTGAAATCAAAGTTCAATCAGGAAATGGGTTTAAAAATAGATAGGGGTGGAAAAGGGGGATAATTTTAAGGCTTTCTTATAGAAAATTAATGATAATATTATAAATAATTATAATATTTTGGGAAAAATCCTTTAAAAACCTCAAAAAACTTTACTTTTCTTTAAAAATGAAAACCTACAGTTTCTTAACAGCGACAGTTTTAGAAACACTGTGGTGAAAAGCTAGCCACTGCACAGTTTCCCACAACTGTGACTCTGCTTAGCCAAGACCACAACCAGCAATATTCCAACTTTTGGGCTTGTTGGAGTGCTTTTTTGACAAGTTTTAAGAATTTCATTAAAAATTAGTAAAATTTATTTATTTTATTAATTTTTTTTTATTATTTTTTAGCAAATTTCAAATGTTTTTGACGATGATACGGACTTTATGCTGGCCGATGAGGCCTCCTTGCAGTCCAATAGCGATGCCACGCCCATTGTCGATACGGATGACCTGAAGATCGGCTTTGACTATGACGCGGACGAAGAACTGCCCCTGGAAGAGGAGCAGCAGCCCAGTGGCAGCTGGCTCTCAACTGTCAGCCATCGTGTCCGACGCTCACTGTCGCGGTTCTTTGGCGGCGAACAGAAGGAACAGCCCCGCCAACGTCGGCGGGCCATGGAACGGCAGAGGGAGCGCCGCCGCCAGGCCAAGGAGCAGCGCCAGCTGGAGGCCCGTCAGCGCCAGGAGCTCAAGGAGCGCCAGCGCCAGCAGGAGGAGCAGGCGAGACGTGGACCCTTCAAGCGGGACTCTTTCGACGAGACCGAGGGCTCCGGCACTGAGGTGGACCAAGAGCAGGACTTTGTCAGCTGTGAGTCTATATTTTCAATAGAATGATCTATTTTTTAATAAAATCCTTTGATCCTTTGGACTAGATCGCGTGTCCTTTACCTTAAACGAGCCTTATCAAGAGGAATTCAACGATCCGGACAGCGAGGCTTATTTGCAGCTCCAGAAATCTCTGGAGGATGATCTGCGCAGCTTCTTCGATCGAACCTATCCGAACTTGGTCGATGAACTGGATATCCGTAGTATCCTAGTGCGAGCCGAGTAAGTCTAGAACTCAGTCATCATCCTATTTTGAAGGATAATTATTTTTGTTTTTAATTCCAGTCCCACGGATGACTCCTTCAAGGTGAATGTCCTGCTGAAGTTGCAAATCCCCGAGCGTATCACCGATTTCCGTAACAAGTTCTTCGATCAACTGACCAACTACAAACGTATCGAGAATCTGGGCGCCTCCGCCGATGAGAACTTTTCCTTCACCGAAGTCCAGGGTAAGTTTGGGCCACAAATTTTCATTCCATTCCAGTAGATGCTCCTTTCTATTTTCAATGACTACCTATTGCCGCTTTTGGTGTGAGACGCTGCTTGTAGAAAACTATGCCCCATATTCCCCAAAAGAAACCATTACAATCCCATCCTTAAAACTGAAACCATTTCCCCACCAAATATCTCCTGGATTTCCAAGTCGATGGGGATACTTTTGAGGGGGATTGTCTCCTTCAAAAGTATCCAATCGTTGGCTATTCTCAAAATGTACAATTTCCACAACTATTTTGTTTCCCCACATCCTCACCCCAAAGACCCCAAGAGACACCATATGGAGGGTAGTGCTGCCGCCCCAGAACCGCGCGTCTCCTTCGAGGGGGGCAAGCGTATCCCCAACCTAAATCTGGCCACCGACGAACCCGAAACCCCCTCCACTCCCAGTGTCTTTGATGCACCGGTTCAGTCGCGCGCCGACCTGGGCGGCGGAAAGAGGATCTTTAGCCTGAATCTCCAACCGGATGATGATGCTCCGGCACCGCCAGAGCCCACCACTACGGCCCAGTATGGTATCGTGGGATCGCGTGGAGGTGGCTCCTTTTTCCCCGATCGGACCACAACTCCCAGTGTCTTTGATGCTCCTGTGCAGTCGCGTGCCGACCTGGGCGGTGGAAAGCGAATCTTTAATCTCAACCTGTTTGATGATGATGATGATGACACAACAACGACAACGACAACAACAACACAATCTTCATCACCCAAGAAAGGACATCCTTCGTGCTTCAACAACTACTTTAGATGCGACAACAACCAGTTCATCATGTGCGACAAGGCCTGTAATTCTGTACAGGATTGCCTTGATGGTTCCGATGAGAGTAACTGCGAAGGTTGGTCACCCCAAAAGCTGGATGGATAAAGCTGCAAGCCGATAACTAACCCAATCATAAAGATCTGATCTCTGAGAAGCTCTTACGTAATTGTAAAACTGTGACCTGTGACCTGTTGTGTGTGTGATGTCTTATCATCGATTTAGAAAAAAAAATAAGGGCTTTCCAAGCTTCAAAATCCTTCTGTCTCCATCTCTGTGATTGTCCCTCTATATATATATATCCTTGTCTGTGTTAAAGTCTTCTGTCTTCTCTACTGTCTCTACGGTCGTTATATGCCCTTCCCTAATTCGATTTGTGGTTAATGCTGCAGGATCTGAGACGGAATTGGATCTCCCAGTCAACAACCCTGAGGTGGATGATAAGAAAAATGATTTGTCGCCGGATGTGGAAGGCTCGGGCTCGGTTGAAGAATCCAATTGTCGCGGTGATGCCACATTCACATGCCGACGCAGTGGTCGTGTCATCTGCGACGATATGGTCTGTGATGGTAACAGGGATTGTGCCGATGCCGAGGACGAAGAGAATTGTAATCGCGAAGGTCAGGGTAATGAAATATTAGGACATTCATGATCATAGATCGATCGCAGGATCGATTCTTTCATTCAATTTAAATGCATAACTCATGGCTGCTTCAAATTGGCTTCAAATTATAGGTGTTACTTATCGAGATAATCGATAGTAATCGATAGTAATCATGTATAAAGTATTTAAACATTAACAAGGATCTAAAGAGCTTTACATCACTATATTAATATGGTTCAAGAAAGAATACTTAGCTATAATAAGTTATCTAGATAATCGATAGTTATCGATAGTAAAAATAATAATAAAATTTTCAAAAGCAGAAGAGCAGACATTAAAAAGGTATCACTCATTAAAAAAGGATCTTAAAAGCTAAGTTATCTATATAATCGATAGTTATCGATAGTAATAGTACAGAATTCAAACAGTTAACCAGAACCTGAAGAACCAACATAATAAATGCTTTTTTCCACCAAAAATAGCCCTTAAAAAATACTAATTGGTGTTAGTTATCTAAAATATCGATAGTTATATCGATACCTGAAGAGCCACAACCATTAAGCATTTATTTCATTTCATTTACAATCATTTGCCTTTAAATATTTATTTTATATTTTTATTTAAAATATAATTTGTTTGCTTTTCTTTCCTTTTTTCCCTCAATTGCTTGCTTTAGTTTGCAATGATTCTGAGTTCAAGTGCGACAACAAGTGCTTACCTTTGACCCTGCGCTGCGATAATCGATACGATTGTGAGGATCAGACCGATGAGGCAGGATGCCTCTACCCTCCACAGAAGACAGAAGACGAACATGCTATACCAGAACCCCTACCGGGTGAGTTATTTTTTTAATTTGATTTTATATTTTCTATTTTTTTTTTTATTTGCTTTTAAGTGCATTTTATATTTTATGTGATTTTAGTTTTTCTAGCATCTTTGATTTCTAAATTTTTGGCTTGTGGGTTATTTTGTGAAGTGGAATCATCGCCACATTTGGCGATCGCTTTTGGGAAATGTGCTGATCTCATGCCCAACATTAGTTTCTGGTCTGGCTCTGTAATAATGGCCAGAATAAATTCTCAATATTAATTGGCCCGATAAATGAGAATATTTCCATTGAGTGCCGCCACCACTTTGTAATATCTTTTCATAATTTTATTTATGGTATGCGTCTCGGTTCTCGTTGTAGTATTCTTTCAACTTGAATAAAGTTCGTTTAGGCATTCAATTGGGTTAAATATGAAAAGTTCTAATGGATTTCCATTGGAATCGATGCATTGGAATGCAAAACAATCGAATAGCAATCGTTTCGTTTCGAAAAAGTAATTTTTATTAATGAACCGTTCAAGATTTGATGAAACGTGAAATGATTCGTATGGGGTTCTCGGTGTTTTATTAAAAATTAGGGATGTCGGAAATATATCAAAATATCGATATATCGATATATTTTCTCTTAAAAAAATATTATTATCGTGATATTTTTTGGGCAAAAATAGTCGATAATAATATTTTTGAGTTGGTGTTCTCCGATATTAGTTGCGAAAGAAAGGAAATGCAGGTTTACTTGAGTATGCCATTTTGTAGTTGGGAGACAAATCCGTTGGAATTCTGGAACTCACAAATTTCAACGATGCCGATGCTAGCGAAGGTTGCTTTAAGTTTTCTTATCACGCCTGGAAGTTCGGTTCCATCTGAACGGTTGGCTTCTGCCATTAAATGTATTGTCTGTGACTCCCGCAGTCGAATGACAGACCAGCATATAACCGAAAGAGTTTTTTTTAAATCATTGAAGAAAGATTTATTTTGTAATTAAGAGTAATTAAGAGCATTAAATAAGAGAATTAAGTAATTAGCATTATTAAGTACATATTCCATGAATTCCATGAAAATTTTTTTTTTTTGTATTAAGTTTTTTTTTATAAATAAATTTGAATACAATGTCCTTAATAATTTTGTTATTTTTTATTTCAAAGAACTTAAATAAAAGTTGCTTGAGAGTGGGTATAAATATTTGTTGTTTTTTCAATTCACTTTTTAAATAAAAAAATATGTCTTATTTGCAATTCATGGCGGATGAAAACACATATTAAAACCTTTTTTTAAATTTAAAAATAACCTTTTTTCAAATTTAGCTGACTATAAAAAATATCGAAAATACTCGATATATCGATTTTTTTTGGTGATATTTCTGAATATTATCGATTGATATTTTTTTCACAGCAAATATCATCAATACGATATTTTTTCAAAAACCAACAACCCTATTAAAAATACAATTTTAATGATTATGATGGAGAATAATGGTTTCTTAAGAGGTTCAGTGAACTATTCGAAGGAAGGGAAAGGTGTGGAAGTGTTGAAAAGTACTTGAAAAAGTGTGACCTTGCTCTCTATTTATAAAACATCATGTTTATTCTTCTTGGCTTTTGCTCATTTTCATCTAAAAGTTTTATTCTAACCTCTGTCTTTAAGAAATTGACAATTTTCCCACACAATTCAGTCTACTTTTCTGGTAGAACCCCAACCTCATGCTGTGCAAATTGTGCACTAAAACCCAAAAACATAAATGCAAATAGTAGCAGAGACAAAAAACCCAAAGCTAAACAAGAGAAAAAAAAAGTGAAATTACAAAACCCATCCCATCGAAAAACCCCAAAAAAAAACAACCTTCTGGTTTTGTTCTGTTCTTGCCCCAAAGACACACAGCAGAGAGAGGGGTCTAAAAAAACAAAAACCAGATTACAATATCTATGAAATATGCCACAAAAGTATGCAACGCAACGAGACCCAAAAAAAATATGTTATATAGATGGTGATTTGGGGTTCTGACAGCGTGTGTAACGGCAAAAACAATTTGCAACAGATTAAAATTACCCCTAAGCGTATTATAAACTTAAATAATCCGCTTGCCACTTGCTGCACCAAACAAAAAAAAACACACGACCAGTAGAGCATCCAGGCTGGGGAAACCCCCACAAAAAGCCAAATCCTGACTCCTTATATCCAGTTCACAGTCGAGAGTTGCCAGTTTTAGTACTTGGGGGCGTGTTAAGTGCTGTCAACGAGATTAAATGCAATGTCAGAGGTTGCCACCTCCTCACACCACCCACACACACGCAATGCGGGGGCGACAAAAAAAAAAAATGAATCCGAAAGGAATCCCCAACCACCCACCATTTGCCCGAAAGTTGTGTCCTTGGAAATTTAATGAATTTTCAACACTCGACTCCTGGGCATCTAAAAACAAAGGGGGGTGGGATTCTGGAAAGTGTTTATGGAGGATGTATATTTGGAATGGTTTTAAATAGGTATGGGTTGTAGTTTTCTGAAATATTAATCATGAAAGGGGGATACATATTTTATATTTATGAATAACTAAGAAATAACTAAGAAATAAAAGAATTAAAACCAAGATATAAGAAATAAATAGCTTAAATAAAGCTCTTTAATTTTAAACTCTATTTTGTGGCTTTGATATTTATCTAAAAAATCGAAGGATTTTGGAAATACTATCAATAGGTAGGTTTAAGATTTAAGCTTGAGGTTTAGGCTTTTTTATTTTAGAGTTAAAGTTCTTTAAAAAAAGTATAGGATATCTATAAAACCTGTTTTTCTTCTAGAAATATTATAGAAATACTAGGTACTTCGAACTTATTTAAAGAATTCAAAGAATATATCTGAAAAATCAATTGCTAATCGAAACACCATATATAATTAGGTTTAAGGTTAGGTTGGGGCTTCTAGATACTTCTAACTTCTTTTAAGGCTTTAGAGAATATATCTGAAAAATCGATTACTAACCGCAGCCAAACTACCATGGATAACTGGGTTTAATCAGGGTAAGGTTGAGGCTTCTAGATATTTACTTCGAACTTCTTTAAAGGCTTTATAGAATATATCTAAAAAATCGATTTATAATTTCTAACAAAACTTGATAACCTGTAAATTAGGTTTACGGTTAGGTTGAGGCTTCTAGATACTTTGAACTTCTTTAAAGAAAGATAGACTCTAAGAGTCGTAACCCTCAAATACATCTTAAAACCCAAGAATACTAACTCTTCTTTTTAAGCCCCATGCTCTTATTCTGTTCTGTTTGGATACCTTTTCTTTACCAGTTATTATTTCTATAATTCTTAAATGCATTTAACATCTGGATATGCCCTTTAGCTTTGTGTGTCTGTGTTTCTTTTTGTATTTTTGTTGTTTTTGTGTCGTTCTGAAATCCGAAACCGGCAGTTTACTGGGTGCTGCTGGGTTTCGAAAGTGCGTCAATGGAAATGGAAAACGGAAGCTGGGTGTGCTTTTGCACTTGAAGCCGAGCACGAGAACCTAAATTGTGAGGCTTTCTGGTTTTATCATTATGCAAGTGGAAAATAAAATATATATATATGTATGTTTGTATATGTATGATGTGTAAAACATATATAGAGAATATGAGGAGTAGATGGAGGTTGTTGGGAAATGTAATTACACAGCCCTGTTTGCTTCCCCCATTTTTCGGTTTATTTTGTAATTTTGGTATTCAAAAGTTGCATTTGAATTTATGGACATGCTTCTCAGTGCTTTTTTCGCTATTTTACAAATTTTACAATTGTTTTGTGGCTTTTGGTTTTGTTGGCTTTTTGTTGCTTGATTAAATTTGGCCAAAAGACGACAAGCAAAAAAAATGTTTATTTCGCGCCACGAAGGGGGAAAAAAAAGTGGCTCGAGTCAATTAGCAGCTTCAGTTGCCTGAACTGTGTTAAATGGCAGTGGATTTCAACCACACATACATATACACAGTGAAAAAAAATATAAATACAAAATTGCATAGACAAGGAAAGTGTGAAAAAAAATAGGAAACACATATGCAAATTGCAGTTGCCAGCCAGCCAGCCAGCCAACGCTTTTCTTTTCTCACCCAACGCCAAAAAGGGCGAAAATTAAGCCAAGAAATAAAGAAATAAACAAAGAAAAGCAGAGGAAAATGCTATATAGGATATGCAGAAAGTAAAAGGAAATTATAGAAACGAATAGGATAATACCCTAAAAAAGATATAGGATATAAAAAATATGGTAACTTATATGAGAATTCAGTGACTTAATTCTTTGAAAACAAGGTCTTTTTAAGAAAATATTATTTACTACCTATTTTTCTCAGTGTCAGTCTCCTTATTAGACTCTCATAATTTACGATCACTTATTTTAAAACTTAAGTAACTTTTAGCTTTTTATTTTAAGCTACTGTTCTTAGCCACTTTCAATAAATCACCAAGGCATTCATAAATTCTAAATTTTTATGTCAAAACTTAGTTAAAGCTTAAGTCGAACATTGTTTATTTTATGTTTTTAGATTCTTAAATAGAAACCCCCAACATGCAATAATTTTTAGGATTTATTTCAACATTTCTTGGCCAAGTTAATTGCCATTTGTATGGACCCTATTGATGGTTTTGTATTTTTTGGTTGAAATCATAAAAATCATAACTGTAAACAATGCTAACTTAACCTCCTTGGAGCCCCCCATATCCACCCCACCTCTTAAGGGGACTGTGCATGTCTGATGAGGTTTTATTTTTTTTGGGGAAAAAGTGAAAATCCTGGCACTTCCGTTTTCGGTTGCTGGAGGTTAGGGGTTTTTTTTTTATGGCACTTGAAAATTTTGTAAATGATAAATTATGTAATTAGGTTAGTAGTTTTTATTTTTAAAGATCACTATACCCTTTCAGGGGGTATTATGTTTGTGGTTAAAAGTATATATATTCTTGATCAGCATCCTTTCCTGAGTTAATAAAAGATATAATTCTGAAAATATAAACATTCATATTATCCATTGCCTACTTTTAAGGGCGCCTG